GAGTCACCTATGTGTGTGCATGCCTGTGGAGGTCAGAGGAGGGTATCCGATCATTCGGAACTGGAGTTACAGGTGCTTGTGAGCCATCTGATGTAGGTGCTTAAATTTCAAACTCTGGTCCTCACAATTGAGCCACAAGCACTCTTACCTGCTGAACCATCTCTCCAGCCCCTATGTTGTATTTATTCTACTATAAAAGATGTTTGGTAGGCTAGCTAGTAATGTAGTTCAGTGATAGTGAACTCACCTGGCATGAACAAGGTCCTGGGTTCAGTCCTCAGAAGCATGGGGCTGGATATATTAGCTAGCATCAGAAACGTTTTGCGTTGTTTGGTTTGAAAGGGGTTCTCATGTAGCCCAGGTTGACCTTGACCTTGTCTTAGAGCCAAGAGTGACCTTGAGTGCCTGATCCTTCGGCTTCTACCTTCTCTGTGATGGGATTTCAGGTGTGTACAATGGTGATTAGTTTTTACACTGTGAGGGATCAAACCTGGAAGTTCATGCATTCTAGGCAAGCACTCTACTTAATGGGGGTATTTCCACAGCCCCTCAGATAAGAAACCTTGAGGTCAGCGTACTTATTAGCTGTCAAATTGACTTGATACTTTGAGAATCTCATAGGGCTCAGGACATGATAAATATTTCTCTCATGAGTGGAAGAATGCAAAAGGGGTCAGATCTGTAAAAACGAAGCAGAGGTGTTGGGATTGGCATGTCAGAGCCTGGCGTGATGTTAATGCTGTTTTCTAAAATACAGTGACTTTACAGCCTGTCTCTGCTGCTGGCTCCTTCCTCCTCCTTGTTTATGCTCAGGGGAGGGGGGCAGGAAGGTAAAGGGTCACCTTCACCCTAGTGCATCCTGCAGCCACCATTAGTGGAGAAAAGAGTTGCAGACCGGAGTAGTCAGAACACATTTCTCCAATCCAAACTCCTAGGTCTGATCTGGGAGATCTTATAGCTAAAGAGACTGCTGACTCCTCTCTCTGCAAGGAGGTGGTCCTGTGGGAGAAGCTTTGGGCTCCTAGACATGTATGGAGCATATGTGCAAGCATGTGAACATATGTGTGTGCACAGATACATTCAAGAACAAGCATGACACCTGGATCACAAGAATTCTGTTCTGTATATTCTGAAGACTAAAGTATAATTGGTTTCTCTCTCTTTTAAGTGTCTACAAATTAATTTTTTAAAAATTGTTTTTATTGAGCCATACATTTTCAATTTTTCCCAGTGGCTTAATTCATCTATTTAACATTACTTTAAAATTGACCAGCAATAGACAGGGGCATCATGGACAGGGGACGCTGGCATTTCTTCCTAGTTGTGGAGAAAGTTCCAGTGCTAGAGTTTCAGGAAAACCTTCAGAGCCTGTGCAAGTTAAAACCAAGGCCGACTTAGACAGAGACGATGAACACGCCCTGGACCAGAGCTTCAGTGTTAAATGTGTGCGAGCTGTTCTTGCCTCAAGCCATTCCTCACAATGGCGTGTAGACAAGAACACTTTTACACTTTTAGGGCGTAACCCCAGTTCTCTAAACAGACCTGGCTGCACGTCAATCAAAGCCCAAACTGAGAGATACCTCTTACGGCAGTGTGTTTTATTGAGGGGAGGGACACTCATCCTATGCCATCTGATTACAGTACACAGTGAACTTTACTTACCTCATTTTTATTCTGGCTTGTTTCTGTGGAAGAGCTTTCACCTTCGAGTTAGGCCATTCTGGTTACCTTTTAGGAAGACCAGTGTGTGTGTGTGTGTGTGTGTGTGTGTGTGTGTGTATGTATGTCTTCCATTATTTTTTAATTGAAATTATTATTCTGTCTCTATGTGGGTGGAGTTCAGTAGATAACTCTGTTGCTTTCTCCTTCCACCTAATCATGGGTTCTGGGGAACAGACCCAGGTCTCTAGGATTGACTAGCAAGTGCTTTTGTCCCATGGGTCATCTCTCCAGCCTTGACCTTTTCTTGAAAAAGCAAATGTATATAAGCTTTTCCTTTCCTTGACTCTTATAACCGATCATGTAAACATCCTGACTTGACTTCTGAGGGTCAAGAGCTGACCTGTGCTCTAACGTGGTGTAGGGCCTCGGCAGTTAGGGTCTGCCAGCCGACAACCATCCAGCTTCATTTTCAGTCCCGGGTTTTTCCTTGCCCGAGCTGCTCTAGAGTGTAGAATATGCACACACGTCTATTCAGTAGTGGTGAATCTTTTGTAGAAAAGTAGCTTTATCAGCAACTTCCTGTTTCTAATTCTATGCTGGTTTTGTCCCCATAAGATGTTGGGATTCTTGAAATTTGACTAGTGAGGCTTCCTTAGAAAGTGTGTGCTCTGCCTGGCTCGTCTTCCCTTGCTAATTCAGAGTGCTGGCCTCTCTTCTGCAGCCAGTGACCTCATTGGCTCCCAGGAAGCTCTCAGCTTTGCTGCTAAGATACCTGTTCCTCCCGGGCCCTGACCTACAGCATACAGTGTACTCTCGAGCTCCCTCACAGCCCAGGCCCCCAGGATATGGTGAATTGTCTCACTCTCCCCTCTCTGGTTTGTTTCAGGGAAGCTGACAGGTCTGTATGGGAAACCCTGCCAAGAGGTGCACTGAAAGAAACAACCACACGGCCTCCTCCGAGGTCTGTGAGGTCCTGATCATTAATCTCCGCGACACTCCCAGGGAAGAGACAGTGGGCAGGTTCTCTCAAGCCAGCTGTTTGCAGATGAGGGGATGGGGCAGATCCACGGGGCAGGCCCGAGTTGTACAGTGTGGCGGAGAGCGTATGAGTCTGAGGGGAGAAAAACCTAAAACGCCCGAGGCTCCTGCCACTTGCAAACTCCGTTCTGGAAACTTCCACGCAGGCTGTAGCCTGCACAAAGGCAGGCTTGGCTTTGGCGGGACTGTTCAGCTTTTCACAGACTGGTATTCATACATAGTCATCTTTGCGCTCCTTCTGCTTAGCACAGCACAAGAAGCTGGATGAACTTCAGTTCCCCCGCCTCCCTGCCCTAAAAAAAAGAGGGTTTGAGAGGTCTCAGCTACAGTTCTTCTCTTGCAGAAAAGTTCTAACCACATACCATGACATTCTTCTCTAGGCTAATACGGACTGTTTGCTTGGCTCTACGGGGCCCTCATCCTCACAGAAGCTTAGTGTCGGGACCAAAGAGATGGTGACTGACACGGTGGCTCACAACCATCTGTTATGAGATCTAGCGCCCGCTATTGGCCTATAGGATATATATATATATATATATATATATATATATATATATATATATATATAAACCGCTTTCTGCCGCTTGGTCCTCTTCCTTCCAAGATGGCATCCAACATCTCTATGGCACAGTTTAAGTTCATCCTTCCTGTTATACACTCCAGGATGGGTTCATTTTTCATGTGCTTATCAAGGTCTCACCTTAAGAACCCAAAAAACTGCTGCAAATAAGATCCTACATATCCAGAAAGCAAAACCAAAAACTGAAACTGTCTGTGCAATGAATAAGTTGTGCTAAACATGATGCCCAGAGAACTCTCAAGACATGTTCTACAGGGCTCCCTTCATCTTCATACCTAAGGAGATGGACACCCACAACTCCCCAGGGTACTGACGAGAAAACTCGGTTTTAGAATGTTAGCTGGGACCACTCACCTATAAACCCTATCCTGAGTTCAAATTCAGGTAATGATCCCATGAAAGTCACTCTCAAGTTCCGAAGGACGTGAGAGTGTCCACTGAATGAATGACCAGCTGAAAGTGCACTGTATCTGTGAATGAGTGGCCTTGCTGGATTTTACTGTTCAGGGTGCTTGGTGCTTTTCATCCCCTCCTCCCCGCCCCCCCTTTTGGCTTTGGAGCCTGTCCTGAAACTCACTCTGTAGACACAGAGATCCACCCGCCTCTGCCTTCCGAGTGCTGGGGTTAAAGGCATGTGCCACCACCGCACGGCTCATGCTCTTCCTGTCTATGAATGGCTTATAGGGGGGAAGAACACATGGCTAAGGCATGGAGCATGATGTGTAGGGTTGGTATTGTGAAGATCAAATGAAAACATGACCACAGAAGACTTCTGAGGAATACAAAGTATTCAACAGAGGAATAAGTATGTCCTTCCTGTAAAAATGGCAGTGTGTAGGTGCTATGTGTAACATTTCTCAGCAGCCCAGACTACTGTGTAACTTAAAACACCTATTCACCTAGCCAATGGGCACACCTGTAGCTTGTGAATGAACTACCTTCTCAGGCCTGAACTACAGAACTGATCGATATCAGTGATTCCACATTTAACATCTTGCTTTTCTGACTTACTTTGGGGCCACAACTTCCTTGGTTTTGTGATTCACAGTTTGGTTACGACTTTGTCTGTGATCAGAACTGATGGTATTGTGGTAGATAGGGCAGCATGAACTAGCAGGTGGTGGTCCGGTGAGTTGCGTGGCTTCCGTGCACTGCCAGGTGACTTCCCTGATCACCGAGACACACAGATCCAGCTGTCTTCAATAATTTCCCCCAAGGTGTTTTCACCGCTGACGCTGAGTAAGGAAAAGGTTAGGAAAGCAGACTGACGTCTCAGCAGGCAGACAGAAGAGGCCATAGGTAAACAAGCAGATGCAAACTCCCTGCTCCTTCATCACCTAGAATCAGGACGCCCCTGTCCCCAACCAGACGCACCCCCTTACTGGCTGACCTGGGTATCTCTCAGTTTGCGTGAAGCCATAAGCCTGTCAACCACTTCTCCTCCGTTCAGGGGAGGAAGACCAAGACCACTTCCCCACCAGCTTCACCCTAACCCCCACCGCTTGGAGCCGGTCTGAGAATCTGCACTTGTGGGGGGTCGCCCCTCTGTGGGTGTGTGAGTACGTCTTCAGTTTTAACACTTGCTGCCTGCGCCAGAGACTCTTCCTGCCTTTTCATTCCTTGAATAACAGAGAAAACAAATCTAGTCAAGACCCCTATAGGGTACTAGTTAGAGACAAGCTGCTGAGTTCAAAGCTCTTGGAAGCCTCAGCGGAGAACTCACTTCCTCCAGGAAAATCACAGCAAGGGCTATGGACCAGCGAAATGACCGAATTTCCTCTCAAAGAAGTTGGATGAAAATTGGCCATACTTTCTTGATTGGACTATTTATTTCACGTTTGAAAGGGCCATATAGGAGACACCCTGTAGCCGTTGCCCACTCTCTCATAGTCTAAGAGAAAAACGGGATAGAAGAAAAGCACGCAAGAAGGCCATCATGGGCGAAACGCAAACATTGGCTTGACCCTTCGCTATGGAAGTTAACTGACAACAGGAAGGAAGCTATTAACCCTGCTCCTCTCCTCCTCTCGCCCTGGTGAGACTCCAACAACTCCTCCTCCCAGGCTGAGACCTTGGAGCAAAAAAATGCAAAGGAGCTCCTGGCTGCCTCGGCTCTGTGCGCTTCTCCCCGGGGGAGGAAGAGGCGAAGAGAGGAGAGCGCAGCCTGAAGTCAAGTTCAGTTAGTTTGTGACTAGAGCCTGAACGTCCAGAAGAGACTCCCAGGGCTCCAACATCCTTCCGCTGGCCGCGCAAGGCAGGCACCCCTTTTGACAAGCTTGAGTCTCCCCTTTTCTCGCCCCAAGTTTGAGTGCGGCCCCGCAGGTGGTGCAAACGCCCCAGCTCTCCGGCGCCCCCTGCTGGCGAGAGGGAAGGCGGCCGCGGAGCCTCTGGGCACAGCGCAGGGAGAGAGCTCCGGTGCCGGGAAGAAGCCGCGAGCTTCCCCGATGGTGCCGCCGCCTCCTCCGTGCCGGGGAGGAGCAGCCAAGGGGCAGCTGGGCAAGAGCCTGGGGCCGCTGCTGCTACTCCTGGCGCTGGGACACACGTGGACCTACCGAGAGGAGCCAGAGGACCGCGACAGGTAAGGGCCACCTGCCCCAGCGGAGGTCGCGCTGGGTGCGCTCTGGACTGGCTGGTGGGGTGCAGAATGTCCCAGGTGGTCGACCCTTAGGTCCCTGCTCTCTGGGCCCAGCAGGGTGTTTAGATGACTCAGGTGGCTTCCATCTCTTGCGGGCACCGCCTCGATTCTCCCAGCTGTGGATCGGGACACCGGATACCGTCCCCACGACTTTCCCGCCGCGCTGCGGTGCTGACTTCTTTGGTGTTTCTAGTCACTTAGGACTGGGGTCGCCCGGTTTGGGGAATCTTTCGTGGCTCGTTCCTGCTGCTGAGTCCGCCCGGGGACCAGTAGCAGCCGGTGCGTCTGGTCGCAGAGCCCAGCGCGTACTGCTCTCCACTTTCCCTCTGACCTTCAACGGAGTTTCCTTTCCAACTTTCCCCCCCACACAGAGAAGTGTGCTCGGAAAACAAGATCGCAACGACCAAATACCCCTGTCTGAAGTCTTCGGGCGAGCTCACCACGTGCTTCAGGTAAAGCTGGGGCCCTGCGGAGTCTGAAGGGACAGGCGTCGCTGTCAAGCAGGGCTTTGGAGTCGCGCTGGTGGAGCCCGGGTTGTGTCTGTGCCCGGGAGGGGGTGGTGTAGGGTGCTGAGCTTCTCGGTGCCAACAGCTGTGTTCGTGGGCTCCGAGCAACTGAGATTGCAACCAGTGTGTGCTGAAAGATCTGAGAACATGTACGGTTCCGCGAAAAACGTGCTCGGTAGAGGTTGAAACGGAAAAGTTTGCGAGTGGATGGAAATGGATTGGGCTGTGGGTGTAAACTGAACGGAGAGGAATGGCTTCCTTCTCATTTGTGTTTTGTTTTGAAAATACAGCCGGCAACAAGGAAATATTTGGCACTTGGCTTGCTTTTGACCTCGTGTTGGGACAGAGTGTACCACTGTCACGGCCTCTGTGGGCAAAGTCGTGGCGGGGAGGATTGTGGGTAGATGGGATGGTTGCCTTGCGTGAAAACAAATGTCAAGATTGTTGAGGCTCAAGAAGAGCAACGGTCTTTAAGGAAACATGCTCTATGGCCCTATTCGGGGTGGAGGGTGGACTGACAGTCTTGTTAAAAGGAAGCGCACATAGGGCTAGGGAATGTCGTTTCAAAGTGCTTCTCAGGTGATTCCCTGTGCAACCAGGGAAGGAGAAGAGGTGGCTCCTGTCCCCAAAGGAGAGGACCCAGGTTCCCTGCGTTGAAGCCTTTCGGAATTAACAAGTGACTTGGGTTTTGAATCACTGAATTCTTGCCTTCCGTTCCTGTCTCCCATGGGATGGAGGTGGTGCATATCTCTAAATGTTATTGTTTGATTTTTTTTTAAAGACGCTATGCAAGGCACTGGGTTAACACACTTATATCAGCCGAGAAATGACTTGGGTGGCACAAAATAAAGCAAATCCCAGAAATGAACGCGAGGAAGAGTTTGTCTTCACTATCCTGTGGCCAATCAGCTAATTCCAGAGCTTTCTAAGTGGGGAAACTTTGTCCCATACAGCCAAGGCTCGGGGTGTTAAGTGCTTCCTTCCAGGGGCAGGTCAGTTGGGTTACATAGAAATGACCCCCAGCTGTATTGTGCTTTCAGATCAGCTATTGGCAATGAGGATGGATTGATGTCAGCTGCCTCACCTAGGTGAGCTCCAGAAGGGGCTGCCTGCTCCCAGACAAAGTGGTTAGGAGAGCTGAACAGTAGCCTAGAGGGGAGGAACATGTTCAATGGACAGGCAGAGACCACGAGGGGCGCACTAGGTGAGCAAGGTCATCCAGCTGGTGAAATGGCGCTGTAGTCCTGGCTGCAGGCTTGCTTGCCTGGTTCCAGTCCTGTGTTTCATCCACGTGATCACAGTATTTCCTACAACATGTTGTTTTCCTATCACGGCTGTATAAAGCTTCTCATTTAACGTGGACCGTGTTCCTGACATGGTTTGCTCGTTTGCTCAGTCCCTAAAGGTCAGACGTCACATAAATCAGTGACAGTTTCAGAGTTCACGTCAAGCTTTCGGAAACCATCAGTGCCTGATTATTCTATTTGTTACGCTCTTTTTTTTTTTTGCCAACTTCTCCAGATTTCTTGAAGCAGTGTGGTTTTTCGCTTACCCTATCTCATTCAGAGGCATTAGCAGTATGTCTTGGCACGTGAGTTCTCACTAACCAGTTACCCAGTGAAACAGCCTGTTGGGCCTATGGCTCTATCAAGGAAAAGTGTAAAGAATTTATATCTGTGTGATGGGATGGGCTGTTTTAGATTGAAGAAGTGACAGCAGCCTGCAAGTACGCTAATAGCATTGTTGTTGTACTTTTTTCAGACAGGGCATCATTTATAGTCCAGTTTAGTCTCGAACTCAAGATCTTATTGCCCATCCAAAGTGCTGGATTGAGATATAACCCCCAATACTATGCCTAGCTGGTACGGTTTACAAATGTATTCATTTCTTTATGGAAGTCAAGAGTTCTATGCATGTTCTGTCAGCCTCATAACTGTTTTTATTTTGTTTGCTGTTGGAGACAGGGTCTCTTACTCTGTAACCCAGGCTGGCCTCTGACTACAAACTCACACTTTTCTCCTCTTCCAGCCTCCCTGGGGTGTGCACCACTACAGCCAGACAGTTTGATAGTTAAAGTCAGTGGATAATTGTTTCATTGGTTCTTGAGATTAAAGAATGACAAAATGCTGGGAGACCTTGGTGCGGCCCTGGGGCTCCTTACTGTTTCAAGTGCTGTTCACAGCTCTCATGACATTGCCGGACATTGGTTACCCTCCTGGGAGCCCCTCAACTGGATCTATGTCTTAATGAGACATGCGTTAAAGTCTGAGGAACACCACATAAAAACCATTGTCTTCAAACCCCAGGCATGCTGTAAACCCTTTTGCTAGATCCCCAGAAGCGTGGAGGCCTCTGCAGTGGAGGAAGCCGCTTTCAGCACATCTTCCAAGAAGAAGAAGAGTCCCCAGCACCCCACGGGGAAAGCACACTTCTCAGGGGGTTCTCTCAAGCTATCAGCACTGTGGCACCTGTCGGGGAAATGGCCTCAGAGTTGGGAAAATACCACAGTCTTCCAGATGGCTAGTGAATGACTTTTAGCACATGAAAGGATTCAGAACTTGCTGAAGGGATTTTTTTTTTCTCAAAAGGTCGTTGTTGGCGTAGATCCCAATATATGTAAACCAAGCAGAGGCGTGAGATAAATCAGATTCGTCACTGAAAAATTTAGAGAAAAGAAGGGTTCAGAGTAGCGTTTGTTCTCGACACCCTTGTGTTTTAGAAGGTCACCTAGGCAGCTCTTCTTTGGTTTTCTGCTCGTGATGTCAGATATTAAATAACAACAGTTTGAAGACTTACTTTAGATTTGGCATGGCTCTGGGAACTTTGTTTACATTGTCTCTGATGCACAGAGCCACCTGGAACATTTCTACCATCTCAGTTTTGCTAAGTGGGAACAAAATAATCGGAGGGGTTGAAAAATGCCCTGCCTGCGCTCTCACAGCTGACACACACGCACCAGGATTTGCACTAAGCTTGATCTGACTTCTAAGCCCTGGACTCGTCTGTTATCTCAGAAAAATCTGCCTGTTGGTGAGCTCTAGATTCAGGGGTGGGAAAAGGAAGACAAAACTCAGATGTCTGGACATTTTAGACAGTTCCGGAGAACACAGAGACCCACAGTGGCCTTGGTCATCCTTTGCCTTTGAAGTCTGTTTCAAACAGTTGAATTTAAATGATCACATTATATACAAAACGGGATTGTGTACGTATAGCTCTCCTTCCTTATCACAATCCTGGGTCCATGTCTCTAGAATTTGTGCTGCCAGTGTGCATGCTGCCAAGTACCCAAAGCTGAAACACCGTTTGCAGGAGTACCAGAGGCAGCTTAATGAGTGTAAAGCTAACATTCGTCCAGCCTTACAATTAGCTCAGGACATTCTCTTACCGGTAGTTAAGATATCAGAGACTGTGTATAATTTATCTGAAGAAGGGATTCATGACAGCTGAGGCAAGCGTATAAAACAGGCACGGAAAGTCATTATGGCGTTAGTCTTCTGGAACTATCTTTATCACCCTCTACTCCCCACCGCTGCCATCACAAGTTGATTCTTCTTTTTCCATGTAGTTAGAATAGAAGATTTGTTTATCTTTCTTTTGCTGTGTTTTACGTCAATAAAATGAAGTGTTAAAATGTGTGTGTATACATATATATATGTGTGTATACACACATACATATCCATATACATACATATATATATTCCATATATATTACACACACACACACACACACACACACACACACACATATATATTCCAGCTTTTTCAGCTTTTATTGGATAAGGCTATGCCTAACCAACATGAACTGCTTTGATTATTTGGTTAAAAGATTTACATATCTATTAAGAACTTAGACCCCTTTTAGGAGATATTTGCACATAAAAGAATCAAATACAGGTAATCTAAGGGCTTGATTTTGAACCAAAGCCTTAGTAGTGGGAGCCAATACTAGTGGCTATGATGAAATCCGAAGCTGTGTGGTTGACACAGTCCTAATGACGGGGACGAGACAGCAGCTAGGAATGACTTCTCAGGCAAGTGTAGGCTTGGCCTTGTTATTCGAGGTGGCTCTTTATGGTAGACTGTATTCGTGAAAACAGTTGAGAAAACCACCTGTGATTTTGGTCTTAGTTCCCAAGTCTCCAAAAAGAAGAAGTGATACAGCTGCGCCCCCCCCCCCCCCACGCTCCTGCCCTGTCATTGCTTTCTCCCTGGGAAGTCCTCTGGCTGAAGGTGGCTCATGTTCCCATGGGAAAAATGACACGGATGCAGGAACTCCCAATTTCGTTCAAGATAGTGCAACTGTGTCTCCAAGCCCTGTGGGAATGTGGAGGTTCATGTGATATTTCTGCAGATGTGTTTATTTAGAACTTGTAGAGCAAGAGGGCCACTTAATTAGGCTAACACTGAGGGACCGACAATACCGGGCCTTTTGGCTGAGGATGCTTCTGAGGGAGGCTGCAGAGAGCACTGTCCTGGCGGGTTGCCGATATCCCATAGAGGGCTTTGGTACTGTCAGAACACACATGGTCACAAACTCTTTGCTCCTCTCTGAGTCTCAGCTCTATTCCTTCAGTTTTTGACCTTGAACCCGCTTCTTATTCTCGCTGGAATCTGAGGATCGCATTAACGATGTTTAGAGTTGGCTGTGAGCACTGTAAATGAGTGAGCATGTGTGATGTGCTTTGAGATGGTCAAGATGCTGCTGCTGCTGACGTGCTGAGTCAGCACCACGTCCCGTTACCCCTGCCCCTCAAGAGGGGCCGTGGGGGTGGCTTACAGAAGTGGTGCGTTGCACACTCACTGACTTCTGTGAATTTTATAATTGAGATTTTAAAAATGTATAGTATTTTTGTTATTTCTTGATTTCTCCACGTCCTTTGACCAACATGTGTGGTGTCTTCGTTAACTGGGGCTTATTATCAAGTTCCGGAGGACAACCAAGAGCA